AGTCCTTCAGGAAGGGACTGCTCCAGCACAGTGTAATGCTAAGTAAGGTCAGTGCAGACCTTAAACTGAAATACCCCCACACAAGCTCTACTAGGCTTCTACATGTGGGATGTTGTTTTGCTCCATCTTCTCACTGACACTTGCCATTCCCATGTTCTGTTTCAATTGACAATGCAGTCATTAGATGTCCTGGTTAGTAGTGTGCAGATTTACTAGTTTGAGAGTGAGAGGAATAGTCTGGTCTGGTGACTGTTGAAATCAGTGGGAATCAGGGGCCAAAACCCACCAAGAGGTTATCTGCATATTTAGGCGATTCAACCACTCTAAAAATCTGCTCCTAAAATTACTCTTCTACGCTGGATCCAGTTCCATCCTCTTAGCTCACTAAAGCCTCTGAAAAACATTTGTTCTGTATATTAGTGTTAAATTATTGATATAAGTTTAAGCTTCATTACACAAATATGTGTCTTCTCATTTCTGGGCTTTTAACTGAACACAGCTGTAATGACCAAGATGAATTGAGGAACACCAACATAGTAATTTCTGTAACAATATTTACTGGCCTTTGCAGTAAATCAAACAACATTGGCATCTTTAATACAATTCAGGTGGTGATCATCTCTAACTCTTTTGTTCCAGCCCCTCCTTAGGTCAAGTGACTGAGTAAACTGGCAGACTAACAGAAGAAGATGAAGTAATAATGCTTTCCTCACCAACACAAGTCATTTTGGCCATGTCCAGGTGATAACCATCAAAGCAGTCACAGGTGTAGCCTTCCTGGACTCTTACACATCGGCCATTTTCACATCCATTCAGAATACCACATTCCTCTGCTTGTAACTCCTCAAAGCTGTTCAGAAAACCTGGGGGGAGAAAGAATTGCAGACAAGTTACAGAACCTTTGAATCAGTATACCCAAATGTGGAGTGAGAGTCAGAAAGTCTCTCAGCAGTTTGCTGGAATGTGACTTGACTTCGCAGAAAATAGGTCAGCTTTAGCAGATCTGCACCATCTGGAGTTTTAAATGCACTAGAAAGGTGCTGTGATATGTTTCAAGATGAAAACTGAATAACTTTGTGAACTCTGAAGCTTTTAATTTGTGTTAAAGATACATGATTTTTTTTTTTTTTGTGAAGGAAACTGCATCATTTGACAGTATATTTTTTAAAGCATAATTCAGTGTTTTTGATATAGCACCTTTTATGATTGTTATGTGTATCAACCTTTACAGAAACAAAGGTAAGAAGTGGTAGTGCAGTTTGGGGTAAAAGTTCCTTAAAACAGTATTCTAGAAAAATAAGGTGTGTGTAGGGGGGAAGAGATGCATTCTAATTTATCTAGAAGAAAATGTATTTTAAAAAAATCAATCTCAAGGAATATAATAATAAAGTCATAAGGAAAGTAAGAAGAAATCAGAGACTGCTTTCCTGTTGTGGTTTTGGTTAACAACCCTTTGGCTGGTACTGCAGCAACTGGTGCCAGTACAAATACCTATAATCTACCAGTTGCTCCTTGTCATAATTCTAGATGGTTAGGAGTCAAAGCTACAGGGTTGTCTTTGCATTCGCTGGTTTGCACAATGCCTTCTGTGCTTATTGTCTTAGGGCTTTTTTGACAGTTAGGCTTTTATGTATAAGGAAGGATTTATACTTTAAAACTTATAAACTTTATACTTTAAAAATTATTTGACGTTTTTACATGTTCAGAGATTCTCTCTAGGACTGAATTCCTCCTGTTAACCCTGCACAACATTTTTCACTAGCTTTCTATTTGTGGAGCAGTGATGTAACAGGACTGCAGATGGCAGCCCATCACATCAAAAAGACTTGAGGAAAAAGTCAGAACATTTGAGAGTCGTAGGTTTACCAGCATAATGAATATATAACATAAAAATGGAGGGGAAATCGGAGCTGGAGTGGAATAGAGTAGGATACATCTCCCCATCTGCCCCATAACATGTAATTAATATACTGACTCCACATACCAACCATTGGTTTATCTAAAACCTGTTTACTGATTTATAATGTTGCAACAGCTGTGATATGTAGATTTGCAAAGCTACCTAGGAGTATCAATGTCTCCCTTTCCTTATGCTTGTTCTCCTGTCTTTTTGTATTTACTCGACCCTGTCTTGGTTCATAAGGCTGTCTTTTCTCTTGTCCTGCTTTGCCTTTCCTACTCTGCCCTTTATTATCCTCCACTTAACTTCTGTCAACTTCTGTCATTTCCACTTCCCCTCTCTTTGACTACCTACATTGTTTCTATCCTGGAGTTTCTCTAGCATGGTGGGATTCCTAGCAAGGATCATACTGGTCAATCATACACTGAATAAATTCTGGAGACACTGAACATGTAATGTGACGTAAGTACTTGCTGACATATGCCATATCTCAAGGACATATATTATACATAGGATGTATACAAGTGTACCTTAAGTGGGAAACATTAAAATCTTTTCCACAAACCTAGTAAAGCACAACTCAGTGCAGCTGTACTGAGGATATTGAGCAGACTGTCCTGATGTATGGTAACAATGTAGTAAGGAACTTGACGATTTTCATTATGTTCTCGAGTCCTCTTAATAGAGCTTGCAGAAGGCTCATCAGAGTCCTTTAAAGTGCAGATCTTTGCTCATTTAGAAAACAAACAGTGCCAAGAAAGGGAAAGGTGCCCCCCCAATACATAGATACTTTTTAAATAAAGAAAAGGCACCATTTATTTGACATATAGTATATATGTACATATATATGCGTGTACATAGACAATATGTACACGCATATATACATATTTTTTGCTCATCCTCTCTTTCTCATACAGTATGTTGTAGTTTTAACTAGCTAAAACCAAAATATTTATCACTCATGGCAAGTTCTACTTTACAAAATATTCTACTTCAAAACAGCTGGATGGAACCTGGGTTGTAATTCTAATACATGTACTTAGTTCTGGAGAAGTTGATTACATACAGGTGACAAATATTATATTGAAGTATGTGGCCCTGCCACAGGACAGGAGGTATTGTTGTATTCCTCACACAGACTGCAGCAGGATTGTGACTTAGAAGTCTTTGATGCCCTAAACAAGTGGCAACTGTATCTGTCAGGGAAGATGCCTCTGATCAGGAGAGAGTCACACAGCTGTGTCTTCTGGGGTTCCTTACGCATTGGCTTGCCACTGTATCTGATTCAGTTATAGGATGGGAGCAAGAGACATGAGCTCTCAGGCCTCTGTCCCTAAGACAGTGGACTCAGCTGTGGATTCAAAACTGTCCACAGTTTTATTGTATTTATGCACCACTGCTTTCAACTTGCAAAGTGCTTCCTTCCCACTCAGCATTTTATCTATCATATTGGTTACTCAGTCATCTTTCTGGGCTTTTCATTGCGTTTGGTAGTTACAATCTGTGTGACCTGTCAATTAAACATCAACCCTGAGTACTGTTTAATTAAAATCATCTGGATATAAAGAAATAAGACATTTTACAATTCTGTGCAGAGCCAGAAGGTCACTTAGATGCTAAATAGAAATGAACTCATTAACTTGATTTCTGTAGTTCTGTAGAAATGTATAAAGTGCACCCTTTTCAAGAAACGCAGATCACCCTTCTGTAGTGTGCTGCCCTGTGTTGATCCATCACCATTACTTTAAAAACAAACTCCATGTACAGGAAAAGCACTTTGGTAGAGTGTAGTGGCAACTTGTAGGCCATGTGTATAAAGCGTGGGAAGTTACCAGTTCCCTCTGATACGTCTTCCACTTTTCTTCTCTAAAACTGTGACAAAATATGCTGAACCTGTACAGGGTGGCTGATTTTGAGGAAGATGCTGAGATCTATCTGTAAGTGTTCCTCTCCCACGAGTCTTAACAGTGAGCTGGGCCAGACCTGTAAAGGACCCTGATATTCCTGAAGTACAACTGAGACGCTGCGTGCAATCCTTCACACCTTGCTTGGCAGGCCATTCCTTCTAGCCTGAAGGCTACATGCCTGCGTACTCTCTGATCATACTGTGCTGTACATAGTCTCTGTTGGGCGAGAACAACTTGCACGCTCTCCATTTCCCCCGTATTAATTCTGCTGGAAAATCATGGAAAGCTGGCATGAAGGGATTTTTTTTTTTCCCTTTTAAACTAAATGCACTCTGAAGAAATCTGTCCCATGCTCCAAAGGAAAAGTAATTTGTGAGAAGGAAAACCGGCAATACTTTTGACCTTTAGCTGTAAATCTGTTGGTAAATACAAATTTAGTACACTTGGCACAAACTATTTCACTATATTAAAAATCAATATGTACTCTGAGCCCAACTGGACTCTTACACAACACTGGCTCTTGAACCAGAACACCTGACTGAAAGCTAGTGTCATAGGAATAACTAAAATATAAAGAGGCCACATTACTCAGAAGCAAACAGAAGAATGAAGCCAGCTACAGGGAAATAATCCAAGTTACAACCCTCATTTCAAGTATTTTACATAACAGAGAAACTTGCTTACGATCTTCGACAAAGTATGGATTAGTTTCTGGAGTGTAATGCTCCTCAAAGTCAACCAAAGCATCTTGTCCATATGGCCGTCGAGATCCTGGAACTGGAATGTTGCACAGCTGGGCATAATCCTCTGAGGAGGGAAAGAAAATAGGATATAAAACTAATCACACTTGTAACACAGGCTGCATTACATTAGTCCCAGTGAGCTGTGGTTCACATTAGCTGGAAATAAACTTATCTTCCTAGAAACACCATAAATCTGCAATTTCCACAAAGCATTCTCTCTTCAAGAAGAATGTCATTAAAATGTTAATGAGCCAAATACAGACTATTAAGTCATAACAGGGATAACACTAGGGATAGATTTGAGTCAATAACTGTACAGAAAGTTACAGGTCAGGTTCTTCTGGCCTGCATGGGAAGCAAGAGCAGAGGGATGCTGTGTATCCCGCTGCCAACGCACCCCTCTCCAGGGCTCGCTATGGTTACACGCCTCATTCTGGTGGAACAAAGACCATCCAAGACCATTGTGGCTGCTAGCAGAAGCCACCCCGAAGGAAGCAAACTGAAGCAGGTGGAGCTATATTTCTGGCACCGTCAGCCAATCTGCAGAAATCAGAGAATAAAAAATCCTTCTCAAATAGCCCACACTCATCTGAAAACTGCATCCTCAAACCACAGGCTTAAGTATGAGTGCTGTTCAAAGGCTCCTTGGCTGTGAACTTCAAAGGGAAAGGGGAAATGCACAGGAGAAATAGTTACACTCTGATTTTCTGCCTCTCTCCAATTGCTAGACTACACAAGTAAAAGCAGACGAAAGCAACTTGCCATTTTTGGTGTCAGAGTCCATGTCTGAAATGCTGATGCAGGTTTGATTTTTTTAAATTTGATTTATTGTGTCACCTCTGTTTCCATTACCATTTACTAAAATATATACAATTTGTTTGAAAATAGAAACTCTGTTAAAATACAGCAATCCAGGTGCTCCTTCACTGTTGCTACAGACTATTCAGCATCTGTTTCTGTGAAGATTGCCTGGTGTTCTGAGAATCAGGCAGAGTAAGGACGGGAAAGAAAACCACCAAAAGAGAGAGAGGAAAAAAAGCCCTAAGCAGATACAAAATCCAAGAATTGCAGATGGTTACAGAGCCAGAAACCTTATGCTGTGTAGAACTGTCCCAGACAGCAAATAGTTGGATAAAACCAGACTGCCTCTAGACAGTGCAGAGCACAGCCCCACTTGCTGCCCAGCATTGTAGTTTTATTTTCACAGGTAGTACCTCCTCCACCTGGAACGCTTTGCTTTTGTACTGAAAGCAACAAAGTGTTCAAAAAGCCTGTCTGAATTCTGTGGTCAACAACTTGGCTCTTTGAGAGCATAAGACTGTGGAGTACAGGCAAAGCTTGTCTGTGCACATCCAGAACTGTCATGGGTGCCAGTCTGAGTCTGCAGAATGAACTCCCCGGAGAACTTACAATCATTGTAAATCTCACCACCTTCTGCTTCAAGTGCAAGGTGATTTCCTCCAATGTGCATCTTCCAGAATACATTTATATGCCATAGTAATTATATTCAAACAACGCTTTCCTCTCACAGATGGAAAAGTACACTGCCCAAGAGATACACCCCATGGCACATGAAACAAGGCCAGCATGAGAAAATAAAAGGCATATAGCAAATATTACTTACATTTCTTAATGCACAGCTTCCCACTGAGATACTATGATAACAAGCATAGTTTTAAGAGCTGTCATAGGACCAAAACCACCCTATTGTTCCTTCCCCACATCTAACCCCAGGTAACATCCATGTATAGGGACAGCCAGGTTATCATCTCAGACTGACTCCTTCTTTGTTTTGTGTTGAGCTACTCATGGGCTTTCATACATACACAGAGAAAAGCTGGGCAGAAGTGTAAAAGCACTTTCTCACAGATGCATGCAGTTCTTGGCAAAGGAAATCTGTTCTACCACAAAATACTAATTCATCTGGCCTGGGTGGAAGAAACCACCAAACAAAACCAGTCAGTGAATGGCAAGGGGACAAGACAAGCAGGTCTGAGGGATCACTACTTCTCCCACATGAATGTGATCTGATGGAAAGGATTGGACAGAACCTGGACATTGGCTTCTCAGCTTACTCAGTGCTGATTTTGCACCTAGTGATACTGGTAGTAGAAACAATGTTCTTCTGAAGGAAGCAGTTGGAACATTTGAAAATCCATAGAGCTGGAGCTCTCATGTACATGAGAGTTGGGTAGCTTGAAGATTGTGCAAGACTATTTATTTTATATTGCATGTTTGCCAGTGCAAAGTTGTTTATTATCCAAAGAAGAATAAAGAAATGTTGACAATAGAAACTCATTTCCTGACACACTGGCCCTTTGCCAGTCAAGTTCTGGATGTCTGCATTTTTAGGTCTCATTATAAGTAAATTAGTGTCTACAAAATGATGAAGAGCTGTTTTAGAGCATACTGTAAACTTGGTATTTGTTACAAGAAGTTGTAAGTGTATCGAGGTCTTCTACAAGGCTATACATACAAGTGTAATAATCTGTTAAGTTCTGAAGTGTATTATGCTTAATTAACAGTTTGTTAATACACTGATAGTTTTATAATTTCTACATTATTTGTATATAGATCTTTAATACAAAAGCTGACAGAGCACTTAAATAGTCTTAAGTTACTTTAGAATGTATACACCTATTCTCCTCATATAAAACTGACATCATTGTTTTGATAGTGTTTTGATCATCATACTGCGATGATTTGGAATTGCCTGTAATACTCTCTTAATCCTGTGTGCTTTATTTAGCTAAGTAGTGTAGACTTTATTTCTTGTCTTTTGTAGTGTGTTGATTCAGTTACTAGGTGCTCAGGAAACAAACCCAAAGAGAGCAACAGCAACCCACCTAAGGAACCAACAGTAGAAATTCAGGACCAGTAACAATGGCACATTATCTGTGCCACCTTGCTGAGCTTCTCTCTCTTTTTTTTTTCCCCAGGGAAGAAAAGGGTGAGCAGAGAGGAGTGTATGAATACTGAAAGGTATTCAGGGGCCACATTCTGGAAAGATCATGAGAACCAGCCTTCTGAAATAAGGTAAACTAGAGACTTGGATGCCTGAGAAAAATGAACCCATCAGAGTCCCCTCTGGAGGATAGAACAAGTTACAGCAAGCCAGATGTGTACGTACAATTTCTGTTGTTTTAAACTTTTCCCCTTGCTATGCTATGTTCCTGCAGTTCAAATTAAAAATAGTGCATTTCGGGTCACTGTGCTGTATGCTGGTCACAGTTTTCCAGGGAAGAGAACTAAATGAACAGAGTGCTGTAAGATTTGTGGGTAGAAGCATGTCTGGTGCACAGAAAGTTGCAGCATGTATACAAATGAAGGAACAGCACAATAAAGCCCTAGGGAGATGACAGTAGGAGACTTAGCTAAAGAAGGTGGTACGGGGGCAGAGAGCAAGGGAAAATGTGTAACTATCTCTGAATGATAAAAACATTTCAGTTGTCACGGAAATTAAAGCTCATGTTCAAAATAATCTTTCATGTAAAAAAATCTTTTCAAGTAAAAAAAAAAAAAAGTAAAAAAATCTATAATTCACAATCAACAATAAAACCTTTTTCTATATGGACTTATTTTCTCTGCTCACTCATCTCCCGGCTGTGATCAGGGACAATACAGCTGCAGTTCAAGAGGAAAACAAGACTTGTGTTTTTAATATAATTTAGTCTACATTGCTCCATGTGTTTCTAACTTTTTCTCATAACTTGCAAATGAAGCATTGAGACAGCTTGTTGTATAACTTAGGATAGCTATTATAAAAGGAAGCTGATGTATGCTTCCAAAAATGTAAAGGACATTTTTTAAGTCAGATGTGTGCATATAAAACAAGAGTGTTGGGGGATTACAGCTGCCGCACATGCGCACTGGCACAGACGTTAGCTGTGATTGGTGATGAAAGCTAGGCTGACAGACAACGCAACACACACTGGATGGACTGACGGGCTTTTAGGTGCTTGTTAGCATGAGTGCAGCGGTGCAAATGTGCATCTGATTTGCATATACAGTTGTTGTAATTGCACGAGCCTACCTGGGCCTTATTTGTACCTCAAGGCCTAAAAACCTTAAATTCTCTAATCAGAAAAATTATTCCATATTTCATGTATTTAAAGCAAAATAAATAAAAGAGCTTTTCCTGACATAAGCATGAAGCAACTGCACCACAGCCAATCCTAGCTCCTGCCCATAAAGCAAGCTTTATTTCTGTTACAGCTCCTCAGAATTGTCACCAACACACACAAAAAAGGAGCCAAAGCTATCAACACCAAGGCAGCTCCTTCAAGTTACTTAAGAATGCAACAGTTTCACCATTGAAGAAATCACTGGAGAGGACAAAGCCAAGAAGGCATTTATTACATGTAATATATGACCTTTTCCAACCTGAGGCTCTGGACATCAGTCTGAATTGGTTAAGTTTATGCTTTCTCAGGAGATTGTATCATCTGTGAACCAAAGCTGAAGATATTTCTGCTTTGCATTTAGATTGTGCCGTTTTCCAATTTTGGTAATTTCATTGACATCTTCCATGAACAGATGCTGAGGTTTGTGGTGGACAGCATTCACATATATTCTACAATTCTTGGTGCTAAAGAAAAAGGGAAGGCTACCAGTCTTAAAGGATTTTTTTAATGTTAAGAAGGATATTCATATTCTCACATGGAGACATTCTAAATGAAATAGCTGAGGAAAGTCTCACAGTGGATGTAAAGCTCTTGTTAAAACTGAAGTAATTACTGACCTGATTATTTGAAAACCTCTTGGCAGTCACCTTTTGTTCCTCAACTAATGCTCCTCCAATTTCCTAAACCAATCTTCTCTCTCTTACTGCTCCAGGTAGATTGTTAAAAGTTGTAGTATGAGTCAGGTTGTTTCTGCCACAACTTTACAAATGGTTTTCTGACTCCTTGCTGACTCCCATGTACACTTGGAATGTGAGATTCCATGATGAAAACCCTTCCATGGCTATTCTACATGTCTCTCCTAAACTTCAGAAAAGCACTGAAAATCTTCAACAGAAGTGAAAGCAGACTAAAATCTGCACAACTGAGTGGACTTTGAATA